TCTTTTATTATTCATTAAGTTCATCTATGGTAAATTTACGCCCCGACAGTTACTAAATATAGTCATTCCTGTCAGATCTTCTAACATCATAGTGTGAAATGCCTATTTACAAACTTGATGGAAAGAAAAAAATTTAATGAATTCGGCGGATAAAAAAATAAAATTCCCAGCACCCCTCAGTCATGCACATATGTACTCCTACCAACATACATTTTAATCTCATATATATATATATATATATATAAAAGAAAGAAAGAAAGAAAGAAAGAAAGAAAGAACAGTAAGATATATAATCCGGTGTTCTTATAGATATTTTTATTATTACAAAATAGTGCTCTATGTAAATTTACAAAACATTAATATTATAAATTAATTGATTTAAAAAATGTTTTTTTATTTGCTACACAATTCTAGCCATGTTTCAAAAATGGAAGCTAAAAGCTCCGAAATTAATTTTGTAATTAAATTAAAAACATTAGTTTCAAATGGTGGACTGATACAGTGTTTATACACATTTATATGGTCTGTTATAATAAATACATTGAGCACCTTTTGTGGATCCGTTCTAATATTTTATATTATTAGGATCCACTTGGATTATATACCAACGGATTTATTACCTGCACTATATATATATATATATATATATGTGTGTGTGTGTGTGTGTGTGTGTGTGTATATATATATATATATATATATCATTCACAGCTCCTTGTTTCGATTAGACGTCCGAAAGCACAAGCCAGAACTGAAACCCAACCTGATTTTGTGTCAGTCGGAATTTCTACCCCTAAGCCATCAGCACTCGGCTGAGAGAAACAGCTAAGTCTAGCTTTTTACGATTGTAAACAAACACCAGTCGGCGACGATCTTTTTCTCAGTTTTTTCTTGCTTCCTCGCAAGTTTCTTAATGTTTGGGTTCAGTTTGTTAAAGCAGAGGTTATATCTTACTTTGTGAGACGATAGCGAGCAGGCGAAGCCTGCTTATATATATATATATATATATATATATATATATATATATATATATATATATATATATATATAATGTAAATTTAGGCAGAAACATTTCTTTTAATCATCTTTTTCGCTAAATGTGACCGACAAGGAAAATGTTCTTAATTTTTTATTTAGTTTTTCCAGCGTTCTCATATGTTTTTTTCGTTTGGTGTGAGTGAGCGAGATCAAAACTGCCCATATATAAATATATATATATATATATATATATATATATATATATATATATATGTGTGTGTGTGTGTGTGTGTGTGTGTGTGTGTGTTTACATGCATATATATATATATATATTATGTGTGTGTGAATTAAATATCGTTTTGTCGTATTTGGATTTGTGTAGTGTAATCTGATCTAATTGGTTTAGTCTGCAAAAAATTTTATAACAGAATACCAAAAAAAAAAAAATATATTTTAAAAGTAAATTGGCGACTGAAAAAAAAGTTTTATTAAATAAAATGACAACATCTAGAAAAGAAAAATATCGAATAATATGAATTATACCTGAGAAAACGTGCAATTATTTTAGGTGTTTTTCTTGATAAATTTCTTTGTTCGTATTGTTTTTTTCACTTGCAATTTATTGAACTATTTTTAGGCATTTCATTTATCTGTTTTATGTTGATTTTTTTTCCTTACTTTTCTATCATATCAAGCACATATTTCTTCGATTTTCATTCTTTCTCTTTCTTTCATTTTTCATTTTCCCTCTCAACCATTTTTCCTTATTCTTCATTCTTTCTCAACTCCTTCCCTATTCATTTATTCTGTATATTTTTCTTATCTTTCACTTCTTTCCTTCATTCTTTGTTCTATCTCATGCCTTCATTCATCTTCTGCATGTGTTTTCATTCTCCTATGAATCATTTCTTCATTCCTTCTGCCTTCATTTTCCTCTTGCACATCTTTTCCTTACGCTGCGTTTCTTTTCTTCATACTTTCTTATTCCTTCATTCTTTATTTTCTTCGAGGCGATATTCATTTCCCCTTTCTTTCACCTTCATCATTTCTCATTCTTTCTTTCTTTTTTCGCTAGACATCTTCTCTTTCCAATGTTCTTCAGTCCTCATTCAATACTCTTGCTCATTCATCCTTTTTTCATTTTTATTTTATTTCATTCTTCGTCTCTTTGTTTTCTCGTGCACGTCTTTCCGCTATAGTATCTGATTGCTTCATTTTTTTTAGTCTTTTCTTCAACATATGTTTTCCTTCCTCTAATCATCTGTTGTTATTGTTCTCTCTCTCTCTCTCTCTCTCTCTCTCTCTCTCTCTTATTTTTTTTTCATTTTATTTTTCTTTATACATATTTTCTGTAAACGTTTTTCATTCATTTGTTGGAGTTACCTCCTCCTTAAGTTGCTAATTTTGAAACCGCTCCTTGGGGACTCTCTCAATTGACTATATATACTTGGCGAGAATTCTTACTATTCAGCTGATACGACACGATATCAATCACTCGTGAAGATTTGCGTCTTCCCCCTTGAACATTACGCACACACACTTACCTAGAAACATTCACATTCACTTACACACACTTTGACCACAAACATTCTACATATATGCAAATACACTAATTATCTTTTTTGTCAGTCGTAACCCTTATTGTGTGTTAATACACATATACATATGTGTGCATATATATATATATATATATATATATATATATATATATATATGTAAGCAAATATATGGATATAGATCCGACAGTATGAAGAAAAATATACTGAAAAAACAAACAAAAATCCTAATATGCGATTATGCTGTTTTAATGTTTAATGTCAACATTGGATGTTTCGGTCTAATAAAAGATTTCTGTTATCTGTTTGGATTGGTATTGTTTTTATGTCCATCGTCTTTTTCCTATTGAATTGTATATGGTCTATGTTAATTATGTTTTATGAATATGTCCTGAAGATGGTCTATTAGACCGAAACGTCCGACGTTGACATTAAACATTAAAGCAGCATAATCGCATGTTAGGATTTTTGTTTGTTTTTTCAGTATATTTTTCTTCATATATATATATATATATATATATATATATACCAGTCTTTGTTGTATCCTTCACATTTCCTTTTACATTTCTGTTGGCGGGCTCATACTCAGAGGGTCCGTCATGTTTGTAGTGGGCGATTTCAGGAGACGCACGTGTTTGTCTCACAACGTGTACAAACGGCCCGCTACAAATTCAACGAGAGTCAGCTGAAAAGTCCATAGGCTGACCATGAAAGAGTGATGTTACACCTGTGAAATCTTACATGCATTAATTTCAGCTCTTCTTATTAATTTATACTATTAACATTGTTCGGACCTTTGTCCTTATCATCCTTGTCATATCCACGATGTTTCGACCGTTGTATGCACCGACTTTCTTCAGGTGAGTGGAATTTCGAACTGAACACTTTATTTCGTTAGTGCGATAGATTGTTCTAGTTCCACACACCTTGCCACTTCCGGATATCTCAGTTATTTCCCTTTAGTAACTCTCCAAAGAGACATGGCTCTGTGAATAAAAGCATTGGTTGAAGTAATCCAGGGATTGGACTCAAAGAATTGTGAGTTCAATACCTGGCCACAGTAAAGGTGAACAAAAACTTGGAGATTTGAGTTAGTAAAGGGAAATATCTGAAACTGATACTGATTTATGCGGAAAAGTCATGGCATGTGGAACTAGAACAATCTATCCTGGTGGGCGAAGTAAAGGGTTCGGTTCGAAATTCCAATCATCTGATGCAGTCCGGGCGTACAACGGCCGAAAAGTCGTGAATATGACAATAAAAATGAGAACAGTCCGAACGATGTAAGCAAGATCAGATAGGAGTGATAGAGGAAAGGATTAGGAGAAGGATAGTGGACAGATCAAGACAACTGGAGATGTCGATTGACATTACATTTGAATAGTTGGAGATTAGAGCTCTCAGGGAAACTGGAATAGGGAAGGGAGTTCCACAGGCGAGAGGTGCGAGACATTAAGCTATTGGAGTAGAAGAGACGGCTACATTTAGAAGTTTCAACAGTGAAAGGGTGAGAGCGGGGTGCCAGCCTCGTAGGGCGCTTGAACTCATGAAGTCTGGGAACCAGCGAATGCAGCTCCTCGGAGCAATTGCCATGAAAGTATTTGTAAAAAAAGACAGAGGGAGGCGACGGCGCGTCTGTGAGAAAGTGACTGTAGACGAGATGCCAGAGCAGCTCTAAATTTTCTGTAACCCCTTGCGTCCTAGTGGGTTCTCGCCTTGCTTGGGGTGAAAAGTTTAAAAAAAATAATATTACAAATAGTTACAATACCTTATCTCAGACATATAAGATATATTCTTATTAATGCCTGCATCAGGTAACCTGACATCTGAGAGTTCAAATAAGACCTCAGAAGTAAGTAGCATCGACTTCTCTTGAAAATGGACAAAATTTGACATTGTGGTACTATAGTATAGTACCACAATGTAATTATACGGTATAATAGAGTACCACAATAGTAACTATACAGTACCTTCAGAAGCTGGCTCGATCCAAACACAGCAACACCGACGGAAGAAGTGTGTGGTTCCGCTAGCGGGAAAATGCCGAAAAATAAACCTCATAGGGTTACATTTGATGAGAGTATTTTGGTGATCCTGTGAAATTTTCAGTCGAGCGTCGTATATTCTTTCTCATCTGTTACTTCATTTTCTTCTACACATCATTTCTTTCGCCTCCTTTGCTTCGTCATAATTCCTTCTTTCTTGGTCAGTTGTTTTGTTCATTTTCCTTCTCATTATTTCTTTCAACATACATTTTTTATTCACTTCTTTTCTTTTAAAATCATTCATTATTTTCTTTCCTTATAGTCATTCATTATTTTCTTTTTTTTATCGTCAATCATCTTTCTTTTTATAATCATTCATTATCCTCTTTCCTTTATAATCACTCATTTTCTTTCTTTTATAATCACTCATTTTCTTTCTTTTGTAGTCATTCGCTATCTTCTTTCTTTTAGTGTCACTTATTAA